AGTAATAAGATTCTAAAAGCTCTCCCTGGGCCGCTTATCTGTTTACTGGCGACAATTTTCAATACGCTTCTCTCCAGTTGCTCCTTTCCGGACGACTGGAAGCAAGCCACGGTTATCGGCATTCGCAAGCCGAATAAAAACCAGCCAATAAGCCCTCTAGCTATCGTCCCATCAGCCTCCTCAGTTGTCTGGGGAAGCTCTACGAGCGGCTTTTGTTAAACAGGCTCAAAGAGCACGTATTTTCCAACGGCCTTCTGCCGACGGAACAATTCGGCTTTCGAGCTAGACACTCCTGTCCAGATCAGTTATACCGCCTAACGGAGCACATCCTAAAAGGCCTAAACCACCCGAAACATCTCAGTACAGGGGCTCTTTTCTTCGATGTCGCAAAGGCATTCGACAAGGTCTGGCACAACGGCTTGCTTTACAAGCTGTACACACTCAAAGTGCCAGATAGGCTCGTACACACCATCCGGGCCTTTTTGTTGAACCGCTCTTTTCGATATCGAGTCGAGGGCACCCTCTCCACAAGCCGCCGCCTCACGGCCGGCGTACCACAAGGCTCCTGCCTCTCACCCCTGTTATTTACGCTCTACACGAGCGACATACCCAGAGACCCCCACGTCAATCTCGCGCTTTTCGCGGATGACACGGCGCTCTTTTACTCAGATCGCAACCTCAGCCAATTAACGACTCGACTCCAAAGCGCCGCCGACCGCCTCGGCGATTGGTTCCGCAAATGGAGAATCGATATTAACCCAGAGAAAAGTGTGGCGATTCACTTCACCCGTAGCACCCCCAACCCCCATCCGCCACACCGTTACAAAGGTCCTCGCCAGTACAGAAAGTTGGGGCAAATATCACTATACGGCCAAACTCTCCCCTGGGAGAAAACGGTCAAATATCTAGGAGTCACTTTCGACTCGCGTATGACTTTCACTACGCACATCAATCAAGTCCGAAACAAAGCCGCGTTCGTCTCCGGCCGGCTACACAATTTAACGAACAAACATAGTAAAATGCCCTTAAGGCACAAATTATTGTTATATAAAGCTTGCGTAAGGCCAATCATGTCCTACGCATGCATGATCTTCGCACACATAAATCCTACGCGCATTGACGAATTGCAAGTAGTCCAAAGTAAGTTTATCCGCCGCGCAACCGGTGCGCAATGGTATCAGCGCAACGTCGACCTGCACAGCGATTGCAGACTCCCGACGATTCGCGCTCATTTTAAAGATTTGACAAAACGGTTCTTCGATAGAGCCCAGCATCATCCCAACCCTCTGGTGGTAAGCGCAGCAAACTACCTACCGGACACTAACGCGAACGTTAACAAGCGTCGCCCGCGAAACGTCCTCATCGACCCGGTCGACGAAGAGGACTTAGACACGATGGACCCACCGCCGGGGGTCCCGCCGGATAACACTACACCCACAGTTAGTGTAACAACAATCACACCAGTTCGCCCTCGCCTCCGAGCACGGCGAGACCCACACAACGCGTACACAAGGTACACCCGCGTTCCGGGGCGGTTCTCACCGCTCCCAGCCACCGATTAGCTAAATGCACAGTCGACGGCCGTCGGGGTCTCGGTCCGAACCGGCGACCTCGACGGCCCTTAGATGACACACCATAGTAGTTAAACGCACGCATGAGCACATGCGCGACCCTACCCATAGCGGAGGGTCCAAACCCGTGGGTTCTGGCTAGCCCACCGGTTCTGCGTCCGATGAAGCTTTAATAGTCTCGGGACTGAAAGCAAAAACATCAGTTAATACAAGATACAAGATCAGGTTTAGTGAAAGAAAAGTGATCACAGATTTTTGAAAAATGTGTTCTTTTGCATTGATTCCTCATAAAGATGATTCGCTATCGAAAGTTAAAAACACCCTAATTTCAATGGAGAGGAGGGTCGAGTGTTTTTATAACCTTGGGATCCTATCATCTATAAAATTAAATCTAGGAACTACATTAAATCATGATTAAATCGAAACACTGTTGCAAGAAACGGTGGTAGGGCCACGCAGCAGCCTCGGCTGTTGCACGAATGGGCAGGCCCGTCCGGGTAAGTACCACGACCTCACAGAAGACCAGCGTAAAGTGGAAGTATGACAAATACTTTCGCGTTTCGTCTGGTGAGTGAGGTGGCCGGAGCCCAATTTTCAAAAGGTTATCAACACATCTGTAACACTCGGGTTTAGCAGATGTCCATGGGCGGCGGTATTCACTTACCATCAGGTGACCCGTCCGCTCGTTTGGCAACTTTTCGCATAAAAAAAATACGATTGGCATCTTCTACGTAGATCGCACATATAATAAATAATTAAAAACTGATGGCAGCCCAGGCTACGACTAACTATTACATTGAGACATCCAACGCCTCAGTCTGTCTCGTGACCATAAACGCTGAAAGAGGTTTGAAACGTCGGGAAATATAATTATGAAAAAAAAAAACGATTAATCCGTAAAAAAAGTTTCATTTGTGTGATGTGTGATTTCATTAGTAATGTGTGATTACGTAAATACAAGAAAAATCCATGATTCTTCTGTTTGTTTTTCTTTTTTTTCTGAATTATTTTAAGGTTTCTTCAATGATGTTTGTTTTATTGCAGTGAACTGGTGAGGCAAGCGGTAGGTATAGTTGTTAATGTAAAATAAGCAACGAAGACGAAGTCGCAGGAATCAGCTAGTAAATAATAATAATAGACATATTATTTAAGGCTTGAATATGTCACTTATACAGTAGTATTTATTTAACCGTAATATACAGCGTGTCGTTACCATCGCGACAATAATACACACATATAGGGCATAACTTTTTAAAGTTGTATTAAACATTTAAATTCTTTAAACATCAATATTTACAGAGTTATTAAATTTTCCAAAACAAAGAATTTTAGAACATCCTTACCTATAAAAGCGTAACGTAGAGTTCATTTGTAAAAGGTCACAAAGAATGGGTTGAATCAATTTAAAAGAGACAAAACATACTGTTAGAAGGTGAGGAGAAGAAGAGAGCTTGTAATGCGACGCTGTGGCGCGAGTTGTATAGGATGTTACAAATTTTGTTTCTTTTTTACTTAATTAGTTTGTTTGAAAAATATTTTTTTTTAATTATGGATTTTGTTTAACGTTAATATTTTTTTATGACTATTGGCAAGTAGCGTTAGACGTGTGTTCATTTCGCACCCTGCGTAGAACAACGTGACATCTGCAAAATTGTAATTGTTCAGGACGGCCGATTCAAATTATTATTGTTTTATTTTGGTTATAGTTTTCTTATACATAGCAGTTGCTGTTACAATTTTTGAGGTTTGTGATATAATTAGGTATATTAACAAATAGTATACTTTTTGAATTAATAATTATATAAATTTAGGAAATAAGAGGTTTTATGTGTAATAGTGACGTTTTCCTACGGAAAATGGCAATCACTAATGGGTCACAAGATCACATAAACACGTTTATATAACGTTGTTCAACGGAACATTCAAAAAAATAATGGGTCACACGTTCATTTATAACAACTTAGAAAATATGTATGATACAAACGCATGTAGCACTGTTTTCAACGAAAAAACCATAAAAAGTGGGTGACTGTGCAATAATTATCAATTGAATGTAGTAGAGTATTTTACACTCGTCTATTACATTAGTAAGCTTAGTCTAGTCAGTACAAAAAAACAGTGTCTAAACGTACATATGTCCGTGTACTGCGGAGCATAAATCAGATAGAACGTTGTTCTATTCTGAATCTCAGTATCTATAAATCAGACGAAAAAAAAATTAATGTCATCTGAAAGCGTAGACAATAATTAAGGCTTTCCGATTATAAAATCAAATTCGTTCTATGTGACTACAGAACGTTATTCTACGCACGGTGCGATTTATTGTCGCGATGGTAACGACACGCTGTATATGTCTAGAGTAACATCTTTCATTTTTCACTTATTTCTCCCTTCCAATATAAAAACGAAGAGAAAAGTTCTTTTTCGTATGAAACATTTTCATTACATTATATTTCCATATTATCTAGGTTGTTGTTTATCATAATATGTAACCATACCACGGTATACATAATATTTGCTATTATAAAGAAGTAAAGAAAAATGTTTCTTTATTGCATCAAACAAGAAACAAGTGCATGATAAATATTTTATAACTATTTTATGAAAATGTTTAAATAATTAAAACGTTCATTCAGCTAGTAAGCAAATACATCGGGCAGTAATGCGTAATAAAATACGGAGCAAAATAATATAACCTACATCTTCAAACCCTCTCTTTAAAATAAAACGTAATAAGCAAGTTTTATTAATTTTATTAAAAATACATTCATCTTAAAAGGACGGTCAAATTCTACTTATATACATAAATGCTTAAATAACAGTACTAATTAAGTTTTCCAAATTTTAGACAGCGGAACTAAAGATTTGGAATCTAAATTGTGTAAAGCAAAGCCACATGATAACAACAACAACAATTACTTACGTATAAGGTTATTTTTAATAGATATACGTAGTCATGTATATTATTAATTTTCTGCCGATAGTAATTACGAATTTTAATACTATTTAGACACGCTAAACTCGTGCTTGATTTTTTTACGTGTTTCAAACGCTTTACAATAAATTAACAAGTAAAATAGAAAAGTATATTCGTAACAATAATGCAAAATAAGACAGGTACGTAAAGTTATCATCGATTAAAACCTCTTTGTAATGTCGTCCGCCTAAAACGTGTTCTATTGTTTTGCTTATCAAATATCTTAAGTGTAAGCTTTAATTGTTGTTTAAAATAACAATATGACGAAGCAAAACTAACAATTGCCTTGGACGGGTTTTATTTTTTAAGGTTTAATTTAACAGAAAAAGGCTGCGTTCCTTCGTATCGTAAGACTTTGGCACTCCAGACATATCCAGACAAACGGGGTACTTGAAGCTTTGGTGCTTTGCTTGAGGCGTTCCAATGGCATTGTTGCTTTTGCGTTTGTCCTATTGTTTGTACAGAAGGTAGGAAGCGGCGAGCGCCAAAGCGGCCAACGGGAGAGAGGCCATGATGGAACTGGCTCCGTTACAGTTCTCCTTGTCGCATACACTGCAATGTTTGATCTGCTTGGTGGAGTCGAGCGGGAAGGTCTTCGCCGTGTTATCCAGGAGGCGGCACGTTTGGTTCAGATCAGTGGGGTTCGCGTCCAAGCAGGTACGGATGGTTGCACCGTTTTCTGTGGACCAAGAGAAAGTTTACCGTATGCACTATACGATTTGGTTCGTTTGTTGTTTTGATTGTTTTGTTTGGGTGAGCTATTGCGCAAATAAATGCTAAAACCTGCCTGTTATATCGTACAACGCAACCTCTCAGCGGGTCACAATTCTATTCGGATTTTAGACAGATTTTACGTTTCGTTAACACTGGTCACACATATCGTAAACATTAATTATCGTAAATCAACACTTTAATTTCGAAATCAGCTCTGCACAAAAAGTAGTTCATTTTATCTCCGTTTTTGTTGTTATTTCGTAGCAGTAGTTGGTTGATTATTTACAATTTTCTACAGTGACCAATGACGAAACAAGTGAAGATGAAATGAATTTGCATTTTCAAATGCGGAATACTAACGCATCACAATCTTGTGGCAGTATCTTGGCGCTCCCGCAACGGCGTCCACCAGCTCATTGGGCAGAATACCTCGGAGGTAGGCGCGGTTATAGTTTATGGAGTCCTGGGTCGAACAGTCCTGGAACGAGAGATACAAGTTTTTATTCAAGTGTCAAAAGAACAATACCTTGCTACAGTCTGCTTTTGTTAAATCGAATACTACGATATTATGATACGACAAATTTATTTCACAATAATGGTCAACCATTTTTAAGGAAAAATAATGTTAAAAGTACTGCAAGGCTCGTAGCTTTTTAACTTGGGCCGAATTTTCTATTTTAATGCTAATTGCATAGAACTATTGAAGTACTAGTATTTCTTCATTCTTTTAGGCCTTCTTTATTTAACTTCATTAAAACTATGCATTCTTATGTTCTTGAATAAATCTAAATCTTCGTTCTGTATTTATAAAATTGATACTGTTAATTTATTTCATAAAATAAATTCCTTAAATTGGAAAAATGGAAAAATCAACCAAAGGCAGCCTATTTGTATACAAACTTCACGCCCGGTTTCTGAAACACTGATCATCGTAGAGATTAACTAATCAGTTGTCAAATGTCTATTTGAGTGGTAAAAAGACTCTTTGAATTTATTGTTTAAAAAAATGATTCAATTCAAAGAGTTTAACCTTCCTTTTCGTAACTCAAATAACATTTGACAGCTGATTAGTTAATTTCTACGATTTTTACGTTTAACGTATTTGTGTTTTTACAGAACACAACTGACCACTGTAGTCTTCCCAGAAAAAGGATCTTTGCAAGTGGGGTCGGACGCAGAGTTGCACTGGTAACACCGCAAGCACGAGCCTGAAACGATTGAAATATTGATATAGTCTTGTTTAATGTTATTACATTGTGAAAATAACAACATGCTTATAAACTTGTACCAACAGTTAATTTTACATATATAATATCTCGTATATTGTGTAATAGGGCCACGCAATAGTCTTCGCTGTTCCACGAATGGGCAGGTCCGTTCGGTTAAGTACCACGGCCTCTCAGAAGACCGCCGTGAAGTGGAAGAATTATACTTCTGCGTTTCGTACGGTGAGTGAGGTAGCCGGAGCCACTTTATAAAAGGCAAGGCATCTGCAACCCGTCAGATGTTGGAAATTTATTGGGCGGTGGTTTTCACTTAACATCAGGTAAACCGCCAGCCCGCTTAACCCTTTTTAACACATCTTAAAATAGTATTCCAACACCTTGTGCGATTTCCACATTAATTAAATAGTACGGGTATCTTCAGTAAGCACTTTTACGAGAAGTTATGCAGAATTTGCATGTTTTTTTTTTTTTCAGATTTTTTAACACAACGAAAAATTTAACCTTATTGGTACACATATATTTATTATAAATTATTTTCGATTTATTACATAACAGTTGCATTTATTTTAAATATATTATTTTACACGGTACTTCAAAGATGTGCTGATGATCTTTCAACTTGCTTCTTTTAATATAAATGTAGTTTTTGATGATGAATCAACAAATGCCAAAATACTAAATGTTTCCTACCATTACGTGGTAAACAATGTTATATAACTTCATTAATGCTTAGACATAATACTGAGTATGTGCGTTAAAATATATCTATTAGCAGCGAGAAGCGATTAACCCAAATATTTTAGTCAAGCCAACGTATGGAGGAATTGAGTTTGGATGTTGGGAAATATCGACCGAGGAAAGTTTTTAAAAGTTGTGAGTAGCGGTTACTTCGCTTCCACTATTGAAATGTAAAGAGTTTCGCTTATCTATTTCCTCGTGTTAAGTGCCGTCCCCTAAAGTGCCTTAATTAGCCTCGTCACACTAACAGTTCAGTACTAATTGCTTTAATTAAATAACATCTTAAGTACATGTCGTATAACTGAATTAAATAGTCCTAATTTTACACTTCTTGGTTTCATCATCCTTTTTATCTTTTTGCAAAAACCCTGCTATTTAATTAATTGAAGTAAAGTATCAACCTATACATGCCCTACTGCTGGGCCTCCTGTGTGCAGAGGGTATTAGGGCATAGTCCACCGACACAAAATGAGTATTCGATCGAAAATTTTTTTTGTTATCATATTGAAAATATGCAGGTTTCCTCAAGACGTTTTCTTCAATGCTAAGCACGTGATAAGTCAACAATTAAAATGGACAACTTCATTGGTGCCGGCACCGGGATTTGCTCGAGTACGATGAATTAAGAGTGAGCGCCTGGATACTGAGCTATCAAGGTTATTTGTATTTTAATAATTTAACTTTTTTATATAATTGACAGCTTATAAGAGTAATTTTGTTCAATTTTTATGAGATATTTGTATTTAATGCATTTGTGTGTACCCAATCTGTTCCGAGTCACTGTTCGATATGATAATGAATCAGTCTGTCAGTGACGTAGTACCTATATCGAAAGTTGATTCAATTTTAGGTCATTAGCAAAAAAAGATATTAATAGTAACTGTTTTCAATAAAAAATACATTTTAACTAGGTTTATTTTTTTAATTGGCATCTAAAATTATACCAAGGGACATCGTCATAATTCACCGTTTTCATGACGTAATTTCCTCTGACCTTAATGCAACACAATTTGAACCATAAATAAAATATTTCCAACGCATGGAGAAACTATTGCCAAGATAAAGTTTTGTGTTTCGTATGAAAGGACCGCTGAGAACAAACAATATCGTTACTACTCGGGGGTGAATTTATAGAGATGTTTTTTTCGTTCAGAAACAGTTATTGACCTCAATTTATTGATGGCGTAGTTATTTTTCATCTGATATTTATTCAATCTATATTTACTAAAGAATGGCGTAAAGATTCTCTTATACTGGGACAGATTATAATGTTTTAAACCAGGTATTAATATCGGATTATTCATATATTCCACAGTTCAATTATCGATTGGACGAAATTCTATGCACGTGGTTTACTGTTTTATGTATTATTTCTCATTTTTAGTATTTAGTGGAAAAATGAAGATTTTTAAATTACTTTTTAGGCAAGGAATTGACAAAACATTTGGAAAATATACCACGTCATAAATATTACGCAAGGTGGGGCACGTTCATTATAAGGATGTCAAGAGTATAATTTAACCTCTCCGGTAGAGGCCTTAAGGAGACCTCAATGCATTAGTCATACATCTATACATGTACGCCACCTTATACTAGTTTGTTTTGCTTGTTGAACACGTATTTTAAATGTGCCTTGGAACCTTGAAAAAAACTTTTGTGTTTTTAACGAATAACGTACCATAACTTGAATGAACTAGAGTTCTGCTCAAGAAAACTAACAAGCGGACAGTTATTTCGATTGTAAAACCTAAATATTATATTACTTATGCTTGTATATTGTCTAAATACTATATAATGCATGCCTATCCGGTGAAAATGTAACCTAAATGGTTACCTAAATTTTGGTAACCGATATTTTTTAAAATATCTATAAAAGAAAATTTTGTTTTAAAAGATCCACCATTATAAAGGTTAACTACTTCATTATCCAGCATAAAACTTACACACACAGATGTGTGTATTATGGTCTATGCTATTTAACTATTGTTGTAGAGTCAAAAGGGATCGCATTACTATCAATATTTACTATAGAACGTCTTGGTTTTCTTTACAACTGACATAGTTTCAACGATACCCGAGCATGTACAATGGACATGTTTCGTGGCGATGTCCTTCACGAAAGTTGTTTAAAAATAGCATTTTTTTTTAATTCAAAACCTGGCTAGCCCTTGACTGCCATCCCACCTGATGGTAAGTGTTGATAGTAAGCGCGCTAGGAAACCTATTCACTCTTGCATTTTTATTTTTACCGTTTTAAGGTTTGTAGACTGCATTATTGGTAAGGTTGGTAGATTGTGTTTATCAACAATTCGTTTTGCTCTCCATTTTACGTATTTGCGTTTCGATAACTGACGATCGTGTCAAAGGATCTAAGACTTTAATGTATGTTTGCACTTTTAATGTGGAAAAATCACTGAAATTGACTTAAGCATATTGTCATTTCGACTATCTTACCCAAAATGACAATCCGATATCAATTTTAAGCGCTATTTATATTAGTAGTAATGTCACGAACAATCGTATGGTTTTCACGTGCACGCGCTAAGCTTTGCGTAGACTCGATTTCGTGATCGGTGATGTCATCGGCCTCTTATAAATTTAGACGGTGAGCAAAGAGCAACAACTAAGAAAGCGCAAATAGTTGCTGACCTGAGCTCCGTTCGGAAAATGAATAAACAACGATATAACCTAAAGAATGGCGGTTATTTATTAAGATAATTTATCATTTACTGTTGTTTTCCTTGGGCTTAAACAACAATTTTAACATCTGGTGTTTATGTTGAAACTACTATAGGCATACTATTATAGAAATTTGTTTACAGGAATTTGAAAATTTTAAATTTTAGTAAAATTTTAGGGTAAGAAGCTCGATGAATTACAATAAATAAATTTCGCATAATCATGTCCTTCATAGATATCTGATTAAACTCGAACCTATAGGATTTTAATCATCGTAAATGAAGCTAATTAATTATGTAATGATTTAGGGTAATTTGTAGTCCTTGAGATTTTTGCTGTTGTAGATTTTTTTGCTCTTACCGTTAACATAATTAATAACAGATTTCTATCTTTTTTCAGTACGGAATTTGTATCGTTGTCCTTGGGCAATCTTATAGAGTACCATTAAGCTTAAATTACGAGGTAGCAAGCAATCTGTTGAGTATAATTTTTTCTCTGGCATTTATCCAGAACTAAAGTTACTTTAAAAAAATGCCCTAGTCTTCGAGCTATCTAATATAAAAAAGACTGCTTACTTGCCCAAAAGGAGTTTAACATAAATTTATATTTGATTTATAACTAAAAGTTCCTCTTTATGAGATTCGCAAGGCGTGGTCTTACAACTTATTTGAACGCGAACTCACAAAGTAGTTAAGGTAACAATTAGATGGTATTTGAGACAAAGATAGCAGCTGTTTTAACTATGAACGAATTTATTTTAAGCTTTGAAAAAATATTTTTTAATTTGGGCACATTTCCTTATTTGTTATAACTACACTTTTTTAGACAATTACATCTTGGAAGTGTATTAAATTGTACAGTTCTCGATTTTAATTTTTGGTCTCTATGGGGCATCGGAAGTCTACTTTTCCCCCACTATGCTGCTTTTTGCGTAAGTTCTGTGCCTATCATTATACAAGATTATATTTTGTTCAAACATGTAGAGCTGCAAGGTTCTAGGTAACAAGGAAGGCAGACCCTGGTAATAGGCGGGATTATATTATATATTTGCCAGGTAGAAGAAGTAGAAGATTCAGAGGCGTTTCGAAAAATATAAGTATTCGGCGTAATTATTTGAAAATATACTAAATTAATTTCTTGTATTTACGCGATTACACATTATAAATGAAACTAATTTTACGGATTTATCGCGTTTATTTTTAATTTTAATTCCCGACGTTTCGAACCCTTTACAGCGTTCATGGTCACGGGACAGACTGAGGTGTTAGACGTCTGATTGTCATAGTTAACCCGGGCTACCGTCAGTTTTTGAATTATTAATTTTGTGTCCGATCTATGCAGAGGGAGCTAATTGTATCTTGTCGCTTCTTGAACGCTGTAAAGGGTTCGAAACGTCGGGAATTAAAATTAAAAATAAACGCGATAAATCCGTAAAATTAGTTTCATTTATAATATACTAAATTTTTAAACCCGTCCCCTACGTTGAAGCCCTTTTCTTTACGATTACACCATTGAATCTGTGCACATCGATCGATGCTATCCACTGAAGTATTTATAGAGTAAAACTTTATAATGGTTAACGTTGCATGAATTTTTCCAGTCATTATCGAACTGTGTCTTATGCTCTGACTGTACGATTTAAAAAAAAAAATTCATTAAACATCCTACAAATATTTAAGTCTAGCATGAGTAAATCTCATATTGTTGTTTTGGACCATTTGGAGTTTTTATTGATCTTAAATGTATATATATATATTCCTATACCTATACCTATATATATATATATTCGATTCACTTTTAGTGAATCGAAACTGGGGAGAAAAATTTTCCATGATGGCAGTGGACTCGAATGTTGTCGATCATTCAATGAAGCCTTGTACGCAGAGACACCAAGGTCGTGTATGTCGTTAGGTCCATTGTTTGTTCTATGGACATCGTTTTATTTCCTACTGTCCATGAATCACGGCGGCATCGTGCGATTCACAATAATTGTTTTGTTTTCGTTTCAGTCAATGACGTCGATAACGAGGCGTTTTAACTAATGAATTAGGCGATTATGTTCGCCTGATACTACTTCAACTCTTTGAGTGGACCTTTAAAAAGTAATTGGGATTTAATATTTCATCTTGAATTATTCATCAGTTGAAAAATTTGTGTCCATAAATCATTTCTTTTATCAGTTCTTAAAAGTATATTTATCTTTTCGTGTCTTACTTATAATTAGAATAACAAGCATTAGATGATCATTCGACAATTAATACTATTTACATATTAAAAATATATACATTATTCTCTGCTTTTAAACAACTTAAAACACTGTGGACGTTTGTGATATTAATATTACGCCATCGGAACTAATCATGGCAACCTTTGCAAATGTTAATCTATAAAAAATAAGAGGTTTTTTTAAACAGCTAACATTTTGATTGGCATGGTTGTTTGGATTTAAAAGCGCGCATATTTTTAAGGAAAAGTAAAATTAAAAAATGCTTTGCGAAGTCATTTATGTCATTTCTTCTCTTAGCATGTTGTGGTTTTATGTTCCATTGTGACATATATAGGCTGTTACTTTACTTCTATTGTGATAAATACGATGTCACAATTGGTTGAATTAAGTATGTTACTAAGCAATATAAAAATTATTTGATAAATAACATGTTAACCAAACAACAATAAAACTTCAAAGCTTACCAAAAAAATTAATCTTTCATTTAGAGGAAGACTTGTTTACAGGCTTCTATTCAGACTATAAGGATATAAGGACTATAAGGATATAAGGACTATAAGGATATAAGGATACGAATAAGGACTATAAAGATTAAGTATAGATTGTTTTCCACCAATGTAATCAAGTATAAAGATACGAAAAGTAACTACTTCAAGAAATGGGCAAGAATTGATTGTGATATAAATAACGATCGCATAGTATTAATCTTTGACGTTTTCAATATAAACATGATCTCAGAATGTTGTCATCGATATCTGTATCGTCACAGTGGTTAAAGAGTTAAACATGTGACCTTCACATTTTATAACAAATTGCGTGTTTGCTTTTTTAATAAACTTATTACTACTATTTACGTCTATAAGTAATTGATTTGTTTCACATGCCTAAGGAATTTGATAAATAAAAAAAAGTTTGATAAATCTTGAAAGTTTAGAAAATTAGCTAAAATTAATTTGAAAGTAACACGGACATTCTTATGACATGAGAACTCATTTTTTTTCATGAAATAATTGTGAACGTTACTGATGGGAGGGTGATAATAGCAATTAAAAGTGACTTCAATAATTGGGTACCAATAATATTTTTAAAAAGAAAACAATGCGTGTATCTGACTGATTATTATTTAATGATGGTTGGTAAAACTCCGAAACCGCTATATGATTAAGTTACTTTAAATTCATCTCTAGTTCTTGGATGAGTAATACCAATTAAGACAAGAATTACTCCAATTGTCATTGAGTGACTAAAAGCATATGACTCAAAGGTTTCTTTTTTTCGATGCAATAAAACAGATTTTAAAACCTAATCCAGTAAACTGTACTCAAACGGAAAGAATTAACTTATATCAAAAGTTAAAAATGTCGCTGCGTCGTAGTAGACGGTTTCTGACGAAGTCGCTGGTAGGTCATGAAATAAGAACATAAACATTGAATATGAAGATCGTATTATCCGATGTCCGATTGTTCGTACGCACCGAACTTGTATAATGCGCGGCAGTAAAAACCTGGATCCTGTCCAGAAACCGGCTCGCCCAAACAAAATGTAAACATGTTAGTGGGACGACCATTATTTAATTGACTGCGTTCCCACCAGCTCATTTGAGAAATGTTGGATATTGAATCGTTAATTTTAAATGACTTGAATGAAGTTATTTGTCACAAAAAGATTCGCAAACGAAAGTCAAGTAGTTACCTTATGTTGAGAGTTTTCTTTTAACTTTCACTGAAGCGAAGAAAATTACAGAAAGAAACTACTAATCTTACCTAAATGAACGCGTATTGTAGACGTAATTAAAGACAGTTTAGTAAAAGTTTTTGATGGATAAAGCTAAGTGAATCGAAGTAAGTAAAAGAACTGATTGACAACTAGAACTTTTTTGATAAGTACATAAAACTGGACGCACTTCAATAAATTAATATCTCCTATCGTTGTAAGAGTCGCGTCTAAGTTGCAATTATCAAAAAGTGCCTCTTTACGTCGTAGAAATTAACAAAAAATCTTGTAAGACTGGTAACAATAAAAAGTTTAAAAACTCAAAAGTAATCATCGATAATGAAAAAAAAAAACGGACGTACCAAATTCGAATGCCGTTAGCAGAACGGCGAGGCTCAAGACAGCAACTCCACTACGGGCCATGTTAATGATTATAAGGGATTGTTGTGAACGAGCGAACTCTTGCAATGGGTAAGCTAGACTGAGAAAATGTTTCGCCCGCCGCCACTGTGACGCCGGCCAACGCATTTACACGCGGAATAGGGTGTAACCGTTTTCGGAATATCAGTGGACACGAAAACAACTCGTCGATAATGTGACTATTATGTATTAGTGACGTTCGTCCTAAATTGCATCTTGAACTAGCATGGAATATAATGTTAATAACTTGTCATATTGCAACTAAATAACATTATTTTTTCATGTTAAATAATCCGTATTCAATTCTATTTACCTGACTGCGCCAGAAGGAGGGTTATGTTTTTCGAGAGTATGTATGTATGTATTACTGTTTGGCACGCTCTGCAGCCTGAACGGCTTGATGGATTTTAGCTTGAGAAGTGTCGTTAGATTCGTCTTTACTGTGAGTGTGACAGTGGGTGACAAAATAAAAAAAAACACAGAAACGCAGTCGGGTTTGATACTTCTTGAATTATATTCTACTTGTTTTACGAAACAAATTACTGTTTATACCGTATAAATTCACAATTCCTAAATTATTCAGAATCTGAAGATGGTGATACCTATATCTTTCGAGAAAATAACAATAAGTTTATATCTGATAAGCCTGTCTTTGGACCTGGACAATTGAATATTAAAATTAAATATAAGATTCTATACATAGTATAGTTGGCACGAAAATTAGAGATTTTCCTATTTCCTTTCGTATAGGTGTCCGTGTTAAATCGCGAAAAACATGCGCATAAAGTATCCTACGTAATCCAGCACAATACGAGTCACACAAGAACCACAATTCAACGTTTTTGTAAGCTGTACTGAGAAGTGTTTCACGTATCTTTTTTTTTTAAGTTCTTCATCTATTTCGTCTCATTTTGGAGCTCAGTATGGAAATCTAAGAGATTTATTCAAGGGCATTCCTGCGTTCAACCACATTTATTATAAATTTCATTTTTGTCACCAAATTTTTTTGAACGAAGTTTTTCTTTTTAATATTTAAGACTATGGCTTAACTATTACCTACCTTTAATTTTATTGTATTTTATCTTAAATATTAATATAATATGACTCTTGTTTACTAGATGCTATGATACTATGGGTTTTTGTCCAAACCAAGCCAGCAGTTTAATATGATGTTGTTCAGTTTTCTATGAAAGAGCATGAAACACATATTTTTTGCCAAACGTAACATTAAGTAGGATTCGAACAAAGCCATGCACGGCAATGAATTATCCAGACGATAATGATCGTTTCTGTCCTATGCATTTCAATCAAACTCATACTTTTGGGTGTCCCTTAATCGAAACTTGATTTTTTGTTATAGTTTAGAATTACTCGAAGCCTCCAGCTCTAACGATTATGAATAACAACTATGTATGATAAAAACTATTGTGAATAAACTAAAAATTAATATTTCATATGTATGAAATTGAGTGTCGTGTATGTATGTTTTCTTTTACTCTAATACATTCATTCATAACTGAGTTTTATATACGATATACGACATAATTATTTAACAAAAAAAAATATGTTGATAAATTATGTCTTATTCACATTTACATGAACGCAACTATAAGGTGTTTGAACGGAAATAATTATTTTTGATACTACATACACACAAAATTAACGACTTTAAACGTAATTCAAATGAATAACTAGAGCCTGACATTAAGTTATTTAAAATGTTAAAAATCTAGTTTGTTTGTTATTGTTGTTTAATCAAAATCAAATACTTTTATTCAATATAGAAGCATGACACTTATTGATGGTCAAAACGCTACCACCGGTTCGGAAAGAAAAGCCACTGACCTGAGAAGAACCGGCGAAAGAAACTCAGCGGAACTCTTTTTTTTTATACCATTATTTATCAAATAAAGACATGTTTACAAATGTAATAAAGTCTACTTGAAAGAGCCTGGGGCGATCATTTCATTTCCAGGGTGTGTTATCATTTAAATAATCACTAACATTATAATAGCCTTTAACACACAAACGTTACTTTAAAAATTTTTTGGATTTTTGAAATTGATACATTGTGAACGTTTTCTGGGATTTTGTTGTAAAAACGTATACATTGTCCCATAAAAGAATTAGTTATCCTACGCAGTCTGGTTGTAGCTAGAATTAATTTATGTTTGTTCCTAGTATTTATATCATGCACATTCGCATATCTTGTAAATTCATTTTTGTTTTTATAGATATACATAACATTTTCAAGTATGTACTGAGAACACAATATGTATTATATGCAAAAATATTGCCTCGCATATGCCTGATGTAGTTCAACATACACACCATTATGGTTACTATAACGAATTATGTACATATGTATGTATATAGAGTATTATTTCCCCTATATACACGTACATTTCGGCAAAATCTCGTAAAATAACACAATAATTTATCATAATTACCTTCATATTTAACTGGCTCGACTAACTTTATCGACAGGATATCAAACACTTATAATGTTCCTACCAAGTCTTGCAGCCAATATGTATTATAATAAGCCATTGTCAGCATTTTATAGCCAAATGATTACTTCGATGTGATCCTCATAAAATATCTTTGCATTGGATTTAACGACTTAATAGGACTTCTACCATCAACTAAACAAATTCTCTAAGTAAAGTGTATATAAATGCTCGTTTACGAATATAATCGTTACTCCACTATTCGTTATTGTCACGAAATAATATGATTTGCAAACTTCTGTCTTTTTACCCATTGACGAGATACAGTTTCAAAACGAAGTTCGAACGCGCTTCGCTGAGATTACAAATTTACTACTTAGTAAGTTTAATTTCTATCGAAAATTGTGTATAGACATACATTCAATTAGTGAGGCATTGGGTAAGATGTACTACTTAAGTCTCCGTTTTATCTTAATAGGACATCCGCTAGGGCTACAGGCAGATAGGAATCCAAATGATACAAATTATGTGAAAATGGGTTTTCCGTTTATAGGCAAAAGTCAATTCTGTAACATAATTGACATATTATAACATTAGCTTTCTCTATCATCTACACGTCAACGAATAGTGAATAGTTGTAATCGTTTATTAAGGATTTATTTACTGTGGGAGAGTCAGACAATTTAAAGTAAGATAATTTAAAAAATGTTCCGCTGAGTTTCTTTCGCCCTTCTTCTTTTCTTCTGTTCTTCTCAGGTCAGTGGTTTTTCTTTTCCGAACCGGTGATAACGTTTTGACAATCAATAAGTAAGTGTAATGTTTCTGCATTGAATAAAGATTTTTGAATTTGAATTATTACTAGTCAGAGAAAAAATGGACTTTAGTGAGTATAATGCAGTGGCGTATCTGAGTTAAAACCATGTCCAGAAGCCTTTTAATGGAAAACATCGACAGCGAAAGACTAACAAGATCAAAATAAAACTAAACAATATTAATGGACCGTTATTTTTGTGGCGGCAGTGGAAAAGGATGTATCTCATCAAGTAAACTACTCGTAGTTGGGATCGGTGTGATAAATGCATGCTCATGCTATGGAGGTCAATGACCGCCCCTTGAGTTTTTCTTTGTCCTCAGCAATGGATATAATAATCGATGCTCTCCTGTTTCTAATTTATTATTTCCGTTATTATGTCGATTAGTATTCGTATATAAACAAGTCACGTCAGTATAGAAGCAACACGGTAAAGTCGTAAGGAAGACAGCATAATCTATATCAAGAATTTAAATTCTATTTTGATTACTGACGAGATTAGTAAAGACATATCTTAATGTCATAACATAATATTTTTTTTTTCAACTTTGAAAAAAAATATGGAGAGATAACGCTGCTTATCGCTTTTTTAGTTTCTCATTTTTGTTTTTAGTCTCAAAAGAAAAATGTAGTGATTCATTAATTAAAATTTAAACCATATAACAACTGGACTACGTTCTTGGCACTTTTTCATATTTCCATTACTTTGCTGAAAGCAGTGACAATTTGTTTAAAATAATATTTATCGTTCACTTCCCATCGAGTAACCTCCTAATGCATTGTTTGTGACAAATATTATACCGCAATTTATCAATACTACACGTCATCGGAATGGGGAAACCATTTTAAAGTTGAACATTTTAAATTGTATTTTCGTTCGAAATACATGACTTGGAAATTCACAAGATAAGTGGAACTTAGAAATGGTGAAGCTTTCATTCGGACGGATTTTTTGAAATTAGAATTTGGATAAGATGAATGTACAACAATTTTGGCACTACGTCGACATGATCTGAAACTGTCAAAATAAAATATGTTAAGAAATTAATCATGAAGATAAGAAATCAATCTAATTTTTCAAAAAAAAACATGATGATGACATTAATCTAAGGCGTTGATTAGTCAAGCATGATTCTTATTACCAATTTACATAATATCAAGTGTTGAAAGAATGTCCTAATTCATTTAACATTTAACGGTGGTAGAGCCACGCAGCAGCCTCGGCTGTTGCACGAATGGGCAGGCTCGTCCGGGTAAGTACCACGACCTCACAGAAGACCGGCGTAAAGTGGAAGTATGAGAAATACTTTCGCGTTTCGTCTGGTGAATGAGGTCGGCTACCTCACTCACCAGCCCAATTTCCAAAAAGGTTGTCAACGCATCTGCCAACCCTGGGGTGTAGCAGATGTTCATGGGCGGCGGTATTCACTTTACATCAGGTGAACCGTCAGCTCGTTTGGCAACTTTCACATAAAAAAAAAATTGTAAAAAATGCCAACATTCTGCTTGCAATAATTGTTTAAAAAGTAGAAAGAGCATAGCTTTTGCTAAGTTTTGATAACCTTATGAAACGAAAAAGCTTTCTAGTGTTTACCAATTGTTCGCTTCTTTCATTATACGGCGCAACCCGTAGCTGACATAATGACACCTTGACACTTTAGGACCACGTCTGTATGCATTACTACCTACGCAATGTAGCACCGTATGGAACTTCATTAACATACATAATTGACGTTGCATTG